TCAAAATCTCTTCTTTTTTTTCCAATGTAGGTAAAAGGAAACACATAGCTCTAGTAATGTTGAAAGTTTAGTTGCTTTTTCGTATACTTTTTATGTTATATTATTCCACTTTCAGTTTGAACGTGATTCTCCCAAAGCAAAATGCACCAAAAAAAATCAAATTTACAACTAGGCAATATAATTTTTAAATTCGTTAAAACACTAGATTCTATAAGCATATTAACTTATAAATATTTTTATTTAGGATAATGCTAAACGGTGCAAATAATCAAACTCTTTTTCTCTCTTATCTAATATAGAGTTGTGAGTTTCTTTCTCTCTTTTACTCACACCCTCTCTCTCCTACTCGCTCTCTCTTTCTTAGTCTTTCTTTCATTTTTTTCATTAAACAATATCCATTTATATACACCAACTTTTTTTACGTGGTATTGGAAATGCAATAAGAAAATAAGCAAAATATAGAACTTGTACTTGAATGTATTTTTAATTTTGCACGATTAAGAAAATAATGATAGGTTCATTTTATTTTGATCTATTAAATGAAATAGAAAGGCGAAAGAAGAATGAGAATGAGGTATCTCACTCTCTTCTCTTAGGTCTCTTTTTTTACTTCTCACTCAGACACACACACTCTCTCTCTCTCCCTCTCCCTCACTCACTCACTCACTCTCTCTCTCTCTCTCTCTCTCTCTCTCTCTCTCTCTCTCTCTCTCTCTCTCTCTCTCTCTCTCTCTCTCTCTTTCTATTTTGGTCTTTCTTTCATGGCAAAGTAATTCTGAAAGTAAGCAGTGAGAACCTACACTTGGATGTATTTTTAATTTTTCAATATTAAGAAAAGAATGATAGGTTATTTTTTTGCCTATTTATTGAAATAGAAAAGAGAGTGAGAATGAGGTATCTCACTCTCTTTTCTCTTAGGTCTCTTTTTTTTTACTTCTCACTCATACTCTCTCTCTCTATTTTGGTCTTTCTTTCATTTTTTCATTAAAACATATCTATTTATGTACTCCAATTTTTTTACGTGGTATTGGCAATGTAATTCTGAAAGTAAGTAGTGAGAACCTGCACTTTGATGTATTTTTCAATTTCCAATATTATGAAAAGAATGATAGGTTGTTTTTTTGGAATATATTAATTTGTGAGTCAGCATTGGAATGCTGTAGATAAACTGTTAAAACATATATTGGATGTTTTTTTAATTGTATCCATATCAAAAATATGAGGTTATTTTCTTTTGGGAAATTTTATGAAATTGAAAGGAGAGAGGAAAGTTAGATAATTGTATTCCTCACTCAGTCACACTCTCACACTCTTTTCTCTATCTATCTATCGATACATCTTTCTCATACTTACTTGTTCTTTCCATTCTTAAAATTTCCTATTTTTAAGATATCCATTTGTGTAAATGTGCCATTTTATTTTGCGTTAGAGTGCAGTAGATAAAATGTTAAAACATATATTGTATACATTTAAAAAAAACATACATTTGAAAACCCTGGTTTTTTTCACTTGATAATAATAATAAATAAATAAAAAGTTCACATTTTTTGTCATAAAAATATTAGAACAAATGGGGGAGTTCATCTAAATTTTATTCTGCTGACTTAAAAGAATTCAAAACTTTTTTTTTTCAAATTGACGAATTTAATGTTCTGTTTTAAGCCGAGTCATAATGGCTGGTAAATGTTTTTTTGTTAATAAAACAATAAGGTTTTGTTCTTGATCCACCTGTACACCATCTGCGACTTGATAGGATCCTTTGAAGAAAAACGTTCTTTGAAGAGGTCTTTTCAAAGTTTACAGAGAATATAGACTAACCATGATAACCATCAATAATCGTCAATAATTAAATGAAATTACCTAAATTTTAGAAGGCCAACATTTTTCTCTTGAGTTCCGTCAAGCTATATTCTCATCTTTTTTCAAGTCCTTCAAATCATCATCTATTTTTGATTATAACTGAAAAGAAACTTTTTTGAAAAAATCGACCTCGCTTTAGAGGTCAATTTAAAACTATTAATCCAAGGGGAGATCTAAGAACAACCGCTGGCGTACTTTAATTAGAAGAATTACAGGGAAATTGGAAGGATCTGGAAAAGAGATCTGTTCTCTTATCTAAATGGGCTCTATTAGAAGATAAGGGGTGCTGTTTTAGCCGAAGACATCGACCGTATAATAACTTGATGATGTACCTACCACGTCCTTCAGTTACATTCTCGTGCTGCCTTGAGAACATTTCTCAGAAAAGCAGTTATACTAAGATTAAATAGTTTTATGTAACCTCAGGTTGAACCTTTATTCCTAGAGCTTTATCGACTTGTATATAGACTCTTAGTTTTCATTTTTTTTAATAAACACATGATTAACTAAAGTCATACTATCTTAGGTTTTGTTACTTTTCTTAGAAATGGCGGTAGTAATTTCCTTTAAGCCGTTATCTCTCAGCACAAACAAAGGCACAAAGGGTGTCCTGAGTCAACAGAAGGCTGTGACACAAGATAATGCGAAGACCTTCATTATCATTTTTACGGCTTGCTTCTTCCTCTTTTAAAAATTGATTTATACCATAGAAATTACGATTTGTACGGTTGATGATCCCACCACCCCAGAGGCTGCGAAAACTAGTTGATCCGCCCGATCCCGGTTGTTTAATTTAAAAATGCCCTTCGTTTCGAAACAAGAGCGATGATGGACGATAAAGGGTCATGAAAAGTTGGCACATCAAAAGAGATCACCTGCTAGATTAGTTCTGCACGACTGCTGATCAAATAACCCGGAGAACAGATTGGCCCAGATTCTTATTTCTAACCGTTCAGCACTTCAGCATACCTCGACCCAACAACTCTCAACCAAAAATTACATTTATTTTTGTTACGAATCGATTAAATCCTTGAAAAAGAAAATTGTCGACAATTTCAGTTCGCATCAGCGACAGGAACAGCATTTAACGTTATTTTATTAACTTTATTCCGACTAGAAACTTTTTTGTGAACTTCAAAGGACCATCCACTTATAACGCTGGCGATGCAAAATAAATAGCGGAATGTGTATTATAATATAGACAATTTTTATTGCATTACTTTTTTTAAAATTTAATTTCTTTTAACTGAAATCTATTTTTAATTTTAATAGAGTGATCTCTTCTCCTCAACTTATATCTGACCCTAAGATTCTACCTGTCCGATTGGTATTATCAAGTAAGACAGGGTGCAGATCATTACTTTCCGTGCTTTTTGAGCTGGAGTACCGCAAAGAAGCATCATAGTTGTTTTCGATTGTACAGTTTATTGCCGATATTCTTCAAATTCATTGCTACATTCGCAGACGACATACCTTTTTTTTCCTCGCGTCAAAGCTCCAACATACATGCCCTAAAAATATCCAATGATTAACGAATAAAAATTGTGTTCAAAAGGAAAAATACTAGTGTTGTATCAACGTCAAGCTTTCGACAATTTTTATTGTCTTCCTCAGGACACTACAGAGACAGATAACATTTAATAAAATAATACAATTTTTTGTTTCATTTTGGCTACTCACAGATACTCAATCAAATGTAAACAAATGGTTATAATACATCATGTCGCTCATTTTTTTAACAATCTCTTCTTCACACACTTATTTTAGAAGAAGAGGCTTTTAAAAAAAATGAGGGGCATGTTATATAACCATTTGTTTTTATATTGACTGAGTATTTGTGAGTAGCCAAAATTAAACAAAAAATTGTATTATTTTATTAAATGTTTTCTGTCTCTGTAGTGCCCTGAGGAAGACAATAAAAATTGTCGAAAGCTTGACGTTGATACAACACTAGTATTTTTCCTTTTGACCACAACCCAAATTCAATAGAAACATCGGTATCGAACGTTGGTCGATCACATAGGATCCATGAGAATAAAAATTGATGAAAATGAATGTATCCACGGAACCTTTACCCTTCGTCGTCCAACACGAATCCCTATCAAAATAGCAGACATAGGAAAATATCTAGGCACGTTCCTAGATAAAAGACTGGCATGAAATCCCCATACAAGACTGAATAGACAAAAACTATACAATAATATACAAATTGTACATAAATTTTGCTTAAAATTTATTATGGGTTATTATTTTCGATGTGCTTTAATGAAGGTATCTCGTATTATGCCGAGTGTTCATAACGGAAAGTTTCGAAAACGAACTACTCAATTAATTTATGTGCTGTTAATCGTCCTAAATAAATGCTATTTGCTGTTTCTCCTCGTATTAATTTGATCCTAATATCCTACCTGTCCGATAGGTATCACTACTGAACTGAAGGGTCTGTTTCTTCCCTGTCGGAGTTGGAGTACTGAAAGGAAACATCCTAGGTCCTCTCCTTTTTTTAAAAAAGTATATACTGCTGATATGCTTCAATTTCCGTTTAAACCTAACACATTCCTCGCTACATTCGATGACCCAATCCTAGCTGATTATTTAACGATATTTAACAATCAACCAGAAGAAATGAAAATAAATACACCTCTAAGCTTTACCTATCCCGGCGGCAGACAGTAAAATGCCTTTACCTACGTTTCTTGATATAGACATGAACCCCCCCCCCACACTAGACGAACTTAGACAAAACAAAGAGAAATGATCAAAACTGCCACCACGGAAGAAACTGTTAATTGACAATATTTCGTCTAGGCCTGCCTATTGAAAAGGTTCAATAACAAAAGATTTCAGTCAGTGTACTGTAAAATTCCCTCGAAGAATACCAACGCTCCTACTACACATCGAACATTATACTGACTACCAAATTCCTTTATTACTAAAATAAACCTATAAAACACACTAAACTTGGTGGTTGAATAATATCCGATGAGAGAATTTATTAAAACACTTTATAAATCATGTACCACAAGGTTTCAATTAAAATGTTCATTTTCGAAAGGTCTGGCCACGAGGTCATGTTGTCATTTGATTTTCATCATGAATATCACGATATTTGGCTAAACTGTCTTATATTTCTTTTTCAGGAGAATACCGGACTTATGCTGCTTTCCGGTCTGGCCTTCGTCTGACAAAAGGTTTGCACATTTGGATTCTAAATAATTATGTGTTTTTTTGTTTTTTTATTTGGACGAGTGAGCGAGTTAAATTTTTCATGCAAAAAGGAACATATTCTTGATAAACTTGCCTGATTTAAAAAAATCCTGTTTTACGAGAAACTTTTAAAATATTTTTTTTATTATTTGTTCACTCCTATTTAGCAATCATTGATCAGTATTATTGTGTTAATTTAAAAGAATCGCTCCAATTCACTGAGACCTCTTGAGATTAGTCTTCAAGTTAAATCGGCCTTCCTTGATCATGCTCCGATTGCATCGTTCAGGAAGTGATACTGTACGATTTTGATGACATTTACCTTTCTGAAACAAAAACGTTTAGAAAAGGATGAAACCGTGGTTCTAACGCAGGTCAGACGATGAATCAAAAATACAGTGCTCAGATTTTAAAGTTTCCCTCACCCATTTGCCATGCCTTCTGAAATTATTGAAAAGTTTTCTTTGCCCGACATCCGAATTTTTATTTTGCGGTCTCCCACAATGATTATGGCGATGGTGAAAATAGCCGGAACTGGGAAAAATTGTACAAGCTGAATCGAATACTATTTTTCCTAGGGCTTCCCATCCTCAACCAGTATAATGTAATGTAATGTGATAATAAATAAAGAAAATAGCTGAAAAAAAGTAGATTTTTCGCCTAATTTGAAATTCTATTTTATGATATTTCAAAGGACTTTTATCCCCCGAAGAACTAGGAATAATTCCTTGGTTTTTATTAAAAACATACCTTTTTTGGAAATGTTTTCCGTATTGGCCATGTCGGACTGTAAGATTGAAATGAGATGCAATTATTAAATTAATAAATGATGAGATCTCATGAATTATTTACTTATTCGTTTCGTGTCTCCGCGTTTTGAGATGCTTTCATAAATATTTACGAATCTCTTTGTTTGTCATTGTTAACATAGAGGATTTTTTTTCTCTTTCTGAAAATTATCAATGAAACCCTCAAAAACCTAGACCAGGGAATAATGTTATCAATAAAAGTAAAATATTAGTCAGATTCTTTCAAATGAAGACAATTAGCATAATTTTCATTTCTGATATTTCGGTTTAATCTCTTTTATTCGGTTTATTTGGTTAATTTATCATTGAAACAATTAAATTTCACATCTTGCCCCCGTAATAATTTAAACATACCAGAGACATTAGTGATCAGAGTTGAAAATTACAAAATAATTTTCCGCCGTGTAAAACCGTTGGATTTGAAACAAGACGAGAGGCCGGGCAGGAGTAATTTCGGTCGTGACGAATGGCTAGCGGATAGGCAAGCAACTTTTCACTTTTACCGCTGATATCGAAAGATGGAATTCAGTAGGGCAATGATGCTTTAAAAGCTTCCTTCCAATATATTATTAAATTTCTCTCAAAAATTAGTTGCTTTTTTTGTGTTAAACATCTATCCCGTTTTTTATATATGTATTATTTCACTACGGGCATCGATTATAAAGTCGTTCAAATCGTCTTTCATCGATAATAAACTTTATTACGTTATTATGTTTACGTATCTCGTTTATCTATATAATGAATTTGAATTGAAAATGTATGACTTTAAGAAAGGTATGTTAGTATCTGTGAATTTATTTACCTATTAGTATTTACCTTTTTAGTAAGATATTAGCTGTTCGATCTGAACAAGAACAACGATATTTGCTCGGAAAATATGAAAACTTTGAAATTCCAGTAAGGCTATATTTTTTAAAAGTTTTAATAATCAATTAAAGATAAAGATAAATCATTAATAAAGTAGATAGATAGACAGAGACTGGGAGGGGAGAAGGAGGGATGAACTCGGTGGGTGGGTGAGTGAGAAAGAGAGAGAGAGTGAAAAAAGAGATATAGAGGGAAGAAGAGAAAGACTGAGGGAAAGATAAGGGAGGGGAGAAGGTGGTATGAAGTGGGTGGGTGAGTGAGCAAGTGAATGAGAAATTGAGAGTGAGATAGGGAAAGAAAGAGAGAAAGATAATGAGTGAGAGGTAGAGACTCAGATATGGAGAAATCTGAGGGAAAGATAAGGGAGGGGAGAAGGTGGTATGAAGTGGGTGGGTGAGTGAGCGAGTGAATGAGAAATTGAGAGCGAGATAGGGAAAGACAGAAAGAGAGAAAGAGAATGAGTGAGAGGTAGAGACTCAGATATGGGGAAACAAAGAAATAGATGAAGAGGAAGAAAAAATAGCAGATAGATAGACATAAATAAATAGTTGGTAAAGTCGATAAAATGAGTGAGTAGGAAAGGTCTTCCGGTCTCTAGGGTAGAGAGGTAGTAGAGGAGAGAGAGGGAGACACTGAGAGAACGAACGAGAAAAAGGAAGAAAAATCGACATATAAATAAAGATAGTGACAGATGGGTAGATAAAGTGGGTGAGTGAGGGAAAGAGAGAGAGAGTGATAGAGGGTTCAAGAAAAAATGGAATTGGATAGAAAAATAAAGAGACAGAGAGAATAAGTCAAAGTAGAGCGTAAGTACTGAGAGAGAGAGAGAGAGAGAGAGAGAGAGAGAGAGAGAGAGAGAGAGAGAGATAAAAAAACAGACTAGTACTTGCCATCCGGAAAATACGGTTATCCAGTCAGGGGTATAAACAGGGCGAGGCAACAGGTTTGATACTTCCATTTGAAAAATATTTTTTTAAAATAATGTATCGTCGTGTTTTTATATTATCTTTTTATTTTCTGGATGTGGCGAGGATAATGAACGGAACAACCTTTTTTCCAGAAAGTGTATTGTCGTATCATTTCAGCTTGTCGATCAAAGCGTTTCTTTGCTGTTAAAACTTCATCTGTGACCAATTGTTGAGTATAAATCAATGACATCAGGATCAATCTTACAACACAAGTTTTCATTTGATGATGGTTCAAGCGGCGAAGCGAAAAAGTGAACAGGGTTTCATGATGTTAGTGATCAACCAGTTTGTTCATCCAGGTTATCAGTGCCGTTGAAAGTAGGTGAACTTTTAACTATCACCAAAAGGTATTGTTTATTGTATTATTAAGGCCGTGTTAAGTACGTCAAATAGTCGTATCAACCGAGTACGTTAGGTGAGTTTTGTCGATTTCATTCTGTTGCCAAAATTGTATTTCATCAGATCTCCATCGCTCCGAAACACAAAATACTTGCGATTTACATATTTCGGCTGCAGAAGGAAACAAAAGCTTTTTATCAAGCTCACGTTTTTAGATTGCACAAGAGACCGGGCTTCGCTAATTCCAGCCTGTTTTTCGCGACCTTAGCTTCTAATCAGTTCCCAACGTCACGTCCCACTAAATACATATTTACTCTTTTAAAATGTTAATGCATGTCGTTTATGCCAGGGACAAAGACCGAATTTACACCTGAAAGAAATAATTAGCTTTATTGTTGGTTATCCATTGAATATACCTATAATTTACAATGACGGCCACTCTGCAAAATTAGAATTGGGTTTGTATCGAAATTAGCATGTGACAGTAGCACTGTACAGGCGATAATTATTCCAAGGGCGGTCACTCGTTATCATCTATGCGGGCAAAAAATAAATTATATTTATGTCAAAGTTGGTTTTCCTCAAACTAAATTTCATTTCGTACATTTCCACAACTGTTTTTATAGAGAAAATGATGAGATAATGTAAATAAAAAATAATATGTAGGGAACTTATTTCTATTTTTATTCTTCAGAATTACAAATATTTTTCAAACACGCCACTGGATACAGTGAAATGCCTGCGCCTCGAAGATAAAACCTACTAGAAGCAAAAGACCAAGATGACTAGGGAGGATCCATTTACCCCAACGATCACCGACACTTTCATCATCAGGTTCTGAAGAATTTAATTTCAACAACAAAAATATATTCAGCAGGCACAGATGTAAAGGGCAAACGAGATCATTTGGCATCGAGACGCGTTTATTTAATTAACGTTGCCTTCAGATTACGTTCACTTTTCATCGTCAAACGAACTTTCACCTTTGCCGTACAACAATTAATTTTCACCATTGTGAACTCTCTCTGTAATCATATGGGATTTGGTGCTTGTCGTTTATTCGATCGAATAGATAGACGGCTGTTCTATCAAAAGAAAAAACCAGGGAGCAACAGGGCGAGGTTTATTTACCTCCATAACAGGTCTAGTGGGATTCCATTTCTCTTCAGACGGTCCGTTGGCTCGATACCGGCCAGACATCGATTAAAAATAGCACCGTACAATTTGTGTCTGCTCGTTTTGAACATCCATCTTTTCAAAATCCGACCAGCAAGACCAGATGCACTATCGTTAATTAACAAATAAGACATAAATCACTGTTATTAAAAAATGATAAAGAAGTGGCAAGTTAGAATGAAAACTCTCAGTACCTTCTCCTTATAAGTCTCAGGCCTACGAAATTATAACTGCTGATTTAATAATTAATCTTTGCTTTCCTCCACACACCAATTTTCGTGCTCACTCACTTTTCTTTTCCCCTCTCTCTCGTTCTATCATATCATGTCTCTCTCACCCTTCCCAGTATTTGACCAAATTCTGCGACACTAAATAAAACGGAATTCATTCATTCCCCTTCACACACTCTCTCTCTCACACACAATCACTTTTTCTCTATCTCACCTCTCGTTCTATTTAAACGTTTCTCTCTATCTCTTCTCGCCCTTCGTCTGTCTCACTTCCTCACTTTCTTTCCATTCTCACATTCTCTTTCTCGCTCTATTTATCTAATCTCTCTCTCGCGTCCCTCTTCCCTCTTCCTCACTCTCGTTTTACCTAATCATCTTTCTATTTTAAGCTTCTCTCCCTTCGTCATTTCCATTCCATTCTCACTCTATCTATTCTTTCTCTCTCCCACTCTCTCGATCTATCTAATCATCTCTCTCTTTCTCTTGTTTTATTCTCTTCTTATCTTCTCTCTTTTTCTTTCTTTCTCTCTCTCTCTTTCGTTCTATCTAATCGTCTCTTTCCCTCTTATCTTATTCTCTTCTCACCTTCTTTCCC